CACCTTTTTTTTTTTTTAATCATATAAGTAGTAATAATGATTCTCAGTATTTAATTTTTAGTATTCAGTGGGAGGTCATGCAACTAATTGTCACACCAAAGATAAAATTAATACAGTGCATTTCTGATTATTTACCTTTTAAATTGACCCTGAATCCCTGTGTGGCCCATTGCAAATAAACAAGTACACAGTGTATATTCAGGAGGGACTATGTATCAGTTTTCTGTTTCTTGCTCACACAAGTATATATTTGGTTATAAAATCAGTTTTGTGGTAGCTTAGAAATTTTCTGTTACATAGATAAAGAAAGATAATGTTGACTAGATAGACATAGATATGAATATCTTTATTAGGTTTATTTTATAGTTATATAAGGCTCAGTGTATATAGTTGTATATTGTATTTTTTAGTTTTTAGGGTATAAAAAGACTTGTCACTTCTTGAGTGTATGTGTTCATTTTTGTAAAAGTTACATAGAAATAATGATAATTCTGAGGTTTTCTTAAGTGTGAAAACATACCATAATTTATTGATTAGAATTTTTTATATAAGCTTAATATTTTAGAATGGTATTTTAATAATTTATGTTTCTGTAAACATATTAGAAAACAAACGGCCTTATTGTGCAGAATTTCTTGTAAGATATTCGTCATTTAGACTTCTTTCAAAAAGATAAAATTATATACATTTTTACTTTTTTAAAAAAATATATTTTATTGATTTTTTACAGAGAGGAAGGGAGAGAGATAGAGAGTTAGAAACATCGATGAGAGAGAAACATCGATCAGCTGCCTCCTGCACATCTCCTACTGGGGATGTGCCCGCAACCCAGGTACATGCCCCTGACCAGAATTGAACCTGGGACCCTTCAGTCCGCAGGCTGATGCTCTATCCACTTAACCAAACCAGTTTTGGCTACATTTTTACTTTTTAAGACTTACATAGAAACACTATTAGAGGTTATGGTGAATATGAGCAATGTACTTGTAAAAATGGCAGTAGAAGGTAAAAGAATTGATATAGTATACATTTCTGGTGTTGACATGCCTGGTTTATATTATATGACTTAAAGGAAAACATCATTTAGTTGTAGGAGATATACCAAGTTGAACAAAGATATGATTCTTAACTCTAAAGGGTGGGGAATTTGAGTACTAAACACACAATTATATTTATTACAGTGTGGCATACATACATTACACTGTTCAAAGCTGACGTCTTTGCCTTCCTGGTCCAAGATGCTACCAGTTCCTCTGTTTCCTATCTTTATTGGTAGTCTTACCATCTTCCAGTTGTTTAGACCAGAAATCTAGCTAAGATAATCCTTGATTTCTCTCCTTCATTTACTTCTTATAACTATTACCAGTCCTATTCTTTCTGCTTTACAAATAAGTAAGTATATGTATGTACATATACAGTTGATTGTCATTTGTGTAGTTATATTTTGTAAAGTCATAAATTAGTGAACACTGAATGAAATGTGTGAATACTGAACCATTGCTCCTACAGGGTTAGGTTCCTATGATTGGTCACAACATTTTTGTCAAACAATTTAATACATAATCTTATTTTATATATCTGTTTCAAGATACTTTATTTAATATAAATTGTTTATATGTTTTTGGTTCATTAACTTTGGAAGGCAGCTATGCTCACCACTATACCACCAACGCGGTTCATTAACTTTGAACTCATAGCCAGTAACACTGTAACTCTTGCCTGAACAAAGGATACCTAACACATCTTGTATTCATCAGGCCCATCATAGCTGCCTTGATCTTGGGGACACTAAATAGTGCTTTAGCACTACTCTTGGAGGCCATTTTAAACAGCAAAATTACAAACTAAAATCACAGTGCAAAAAACGTGGCGCTATCCAGTCATGAAAAGGATACTTGTGTACAGTGCGAGAGCTGAAACAGGCACAGTGTTACCCTGTGGGACCTCAGCTGGGAAGGTCAAATATTTTGTTCCTTTGCACTTGTCTCTGAGTGACTGTGAAAGTGCCCCAGGTGACTGTAGGGTTACAAATAAAATTTTAGCGAGTAGGTGAATTAGCACATTTGGAATCTGTGAATAATGAGTATTTACTGTATGTTTTTCAACTCACTATTCTCTGTCCTTATTGCTGTGTCTTCTCATAAAGCCCCTTAGCTTTGGACAAAGTTACTAAGACATTTAACTGGTTTCTTCTCAGTTTATTTCCGCCAAAACACTTACCGTACTTTTCAAAATATAGCTTTAATTTTCTATTCCCTTGTATACATGTTTTAAATTATATGACCTTTAATGAACTGGTTTCCGTTTGTGTGCACTCTACCCAAACCCACCTAAGAACACCTGAGTTTTCTCTGCTTTTCACCCTCTCTCTCCCACCATTATTTCTCTCCTCCTGACTAATTGCTCTTTAGGTTGTAATTTGCATATCACTTTACTCCCAATCTTGTGGTAGGGAAACCTTCATATGTACCTGTATTTCACTGTATTCCTTTTATACTCCCCCCATATAAGTAGTCCCTTTCCTTTGTAACCCTGCTTTATTTTTCGTCACATCACTTGTATCATCTGCCATTGTGTATGTGTGTGTACAGTTGCCTTGTTTATTATGTCTCCCCACTGCAAGGATTTCATCTTTTCTCTGCTGTATTCCCAGCTTAGAATATGTCCACATAAATGTAGGAAAGAAAAAAGTCTCACCCCTGTACAGTTTCACAGTCTTGTTCCCCATAGGAAGCTATAAACAAATCTGTAAGCAAATTATTTCTTTATTCTTCTAGAAACTTGACTTGCATATTATATATATATACTAGCGGCCCTGTGCATGAAATTTGTTCACTGGGGGGGGGGGGGGTTCCTCAACCTGGCCTGCCCCCTCTCCCAGTCCAGGAGCCCTTAGTGGCGGAAGGCGACCCAGCAATAAGAGGAAGGCGACACCCCCATCACAGCTCTGCTGCTGCCACTGCTGGCAGCGCAAGCATTGGCCGGCCCTGTTTACCTGAGCTTTGGGTGGCTGGGGGGCGTGAGGGGACTCGGGGACTCCAGAGGCAGGTGAACAGAGCAGCTGGGCCCGCCTTGCCGTGCGCCTGCTGCCCCAGAGGGGCTGAGGGGACTGGGCGCCGCCATCTTGTGGCTGTGGGTGCCATCATCTTGGAGGGCATGGCAGTCAATTAGCATATTCCCTCCTTATTGGCTGTGGGTGCCGCCATCTTGGAGGGCATGGCAGTCAATTAGCATATTCTCTCCTTATTGGCTGTGGGCTCCTTATTGGCTGTGGGCGGTGCCATCTTTGTGATGACGTGGGGGTCTATTACAGCCATGGGCAAACTACGGCCCGTTCGGCTGTTCTATCCGGCCCGCGGAGCCAAAAGAGCGGAGGGGTCTCTTGCTCTCCCCTCCACTCCTTCACCAGCAGCAGTGTTAATATGTATTAGTTCACACAAACACTCCATCCATGCTTTTGTTCCGACCCTCCGGTCCAGTTTAAGAACCCACTGTGGCCCTCGAGTCAAAAAGTTTGCCCACCCCTGGTCTATTAGCATATTATATAAGATGTGAACATACGTATATTTTTACATAAATGGGAGGATACCAGACACTTCTGTGTCTGCATCATTTATAATTTTTTGCCAACCTGATAATTAGAAAAAAATGTTCATTTATTTATATTTCTTTAATGAGTGAGGCTGACTGCTTTATCATATACTTAAATTATTTGTATTTCTTTTACTTGGAGCTATCTGTTCCTAATCTTTGCCCATTTTTTTGCTAGTTATATTTCATGACTTTTAGGAATGTGTGTATGTATTTTGTATATTTATATTTATGTATTTAATAATTCATCTTTTGTGATATACATGGAAAATAACATTTTCTGATTGCCATTTTCAAGGTCATTAGAAGACAAATTGTTAATTTTAATATATTTGAATTTATCAATCTTTCATAGGTTTTTGTTTCAAAGTTCCACTCTACTTTAATTTTTAAAAAATTATTTGTTTCTTCTAATGTGTTTGATAAGTTCATTTTTAGTTTTTAAAATATTTGAGCCTTTGATCCAGCTGTTTTTTCTCTCTTTATATTTTTTGTTAATCCTCACCCGAGGACATTTTTTCCTTGATTTTTTTTTTTATAGTTTAAAGCACAGCTAAACATCTGTATTTATTTACATTTTTCAAGCATACTATTTTTACAATAATGGATTAGAAGATTTACCTTAAACTAGACAATTACAGAATCAGATAACTTTTATTGACCACTTATTTTATAGTCATTTTACTAAATCAAAATTAGGAGGTCAATAACATTAAAAGGCACATATTCATATCAGAAAATACTTTTGAAAAAGCCATCTATTTACTGTTATGACATGCCATATATACAAAGGCATATTTATAGTGTCATAAAAGCAATTGCACAATGGGAGCAGGTAGAAGAGTTTCCCTTGATTTTTTAGGGAGAGTGGAAGGGAGGGGGAGAGACCAAGAGAGAGAGATATTGATGTGAGAGAGACACATCATGATTGCCTGCTGTACTGGCCATTCACGGCTGGCCGGGGTCGAGTCTGCAACCTAGATATGTGTCCATGACCTGAATTGAACCCAGGATCCTTTCAGTCTGCAGGCCGAAGCTCTATCTACTGAGGCAAACCTGCTAGAGCTCTCTTTATTTTTTTTTATAGATTTCCAGAGTTATTGCACATGGCTCTTCTTCCCATATGAGCTTTAGAAACAGCTTGTTGAGTTACTGCCAAAATTCAATTTTAATTTTTATTGAGATGTTTAATGTTATCAAAATATTTTTGGAGAAAAAATATACTGTCTTCATAGATGCAAAAGACTTTAGACATTACCCTGTTAAACAGGTTTTCTAGTATTGATTTAGTCTTGTAATATTAGAACAATCCTAATTGGTCATAATGGGTTATTCTTTTAATTTGATGAATCTTATTTGTTGATAAACTTTTTTTTAACTTCCATGGCTAAAAGTCTTTTTTTAAAAAGGGTTTAGGCCATTGCTAGCAAATAATGAAGACCTGTCTTGGGACACGGAGTGTACACCACCAGCAGTGTGGCTAGGTAGGAAAGACAAAACCATCATCCCCGAGCTTTGCAGCATTTTTAAACATCAGGTGGGGCAGGGGACAATATAAGTAGTTCTGAGAGGATTTACATTAGCTCTAGGGAGGGGCATGGGAGAGGGTAAATCAGTGCTAATTCTGGGAAAGGCCCAGCAAAGTCCACAAGGAAGAAGTGTCCTCTCGCTCTGCTGTAATTTTAATTTAGAACATCTCAGAATTTTTTTTTGTTATCGCTAATATTTTATTTAAGATTATTTTATCTTATAAAATTAATTTATAGCTATGTGGGTTATTTGTGATTTTTTAAGTAGAACATGTAGAAAGTTTTTCTTTATCCTTATATAACTTAAAGGGCATTGAAATTATTTCATTATAGGATTTATCCTTAATATTCTATGGTCAGTTTTGAAAATTTTAATTTTCTCAGAAAACCATACTCTTACACTTTGCTTCTCCTTTATTTCTCATAATTTTTGTTAATATTTTCAGTTCTTAGATAAGGTATTTACCTTTATACCTTTTATACTATATTTAAACTTCTATTAACTGAATTATTAACTTTAAACAGCTATTTAATGAGTCCTGGCTTTAAAAGTTGAACTCATCAGAGTTATACTTTCTCATACTTGACCTCTTCTCTCCCTTTTTCTCCTGATATTTTGTCATTTATTTATTGCCAAGATTACAGCATTTTCATTTAATTCTATACTCAAAATTTCTTTAGTTTTAAACCAACCATAGTTACTTTAATGTTGATTGATTCTCATGATTAGGCTTCTGTTTGTCTCTTGTTTGACATCTGGTTCAACCTCTCACCTCTCCTCCCCTAAAATATACATGTTTGAAATATTCAAGTTATTAAATATATGAAAATGATTCTGTGACCTATATTTGCATGTCATAAACGGAAGGCTTTGCAGACATTGCTGTACCATTTTCTATTATTGTATTGCTCCTACTCCTATTCTGCTGTTTCTAGTGTGGCTTTTATTTCTGTAGAAGTTCCCTCCTCTCTATATTTCTCATGAGCTCGCTGGCTTACTTTTGAACTTTCCCTTTCTATTGTTTTTATCTTTTATCATCTTTTCTTTTATCTCTCTCTTTGGGAGAAAAATAAGATAGAAACATAAAATAGGATAGAAGAATCGTTGCTTTGTCTCTTTAACTTGATATTTTTGCCCCTAGGATACTTAATTAGATTAAATCCTCCCTTCACCTTTGAAACTAGATTGATTTTAGAGCCTTGCTATTTCTTTCTACATATGTGATAGGGCAGACCTTTTCCCAGAGGTTTAGATCAGGGGTTCTCAAACTTTTTAAACAGGGGGCCAGTTCACTGTCCCTCAGACTGTTGGAGGGCCGGACTATAGTTTTTAAAAAAACTATGAACAAATTCCTATGCACACTGCACATATCTTATTTTGAAGTAAAAAAACAAAACGGGAACAAATACAGTATTTGTATTTGCATGTGGCCCTCGGGCTCTAGTTTGAGGACCCCTGGTTTAGATGCTTAGGTATAATGATTCCATTATCCGTATCAACTGGTCTTTATCATGACAATCTACTGAAGATTATGGAAGGAAATTTCTTTTATTACTCATTTAGAGAAATTTTCAATATTTTTATATTTTAGAATGAGAACTTAATACTTATATAAAAATTAACTTTTTATCACGATAGTAAATTGGAACTCTAATTTCTAAAATAATATATTAAATGTTGGTATGTCTTTTTTTTATATGTTTTTATTGGTTTCAGAGAGAGAAAGGGAGAGGGAGAGAGAGAAACATCAATGATGAGAATCATTGATCGGCTGCCTCCTGCACACCCCCTACTGGGGATTGAGCCTGCAACCTGGGCATGTGCCCTGATCGGCAGTTGAACTGTGACCTTCTGGTTCATGGGTCAACCCTTAACCACTGACCCACACTGGCCAGGCTGTTGGTATGTCTTCTTAACTTCGATAATATTTTGGTTCATTTTGTTAACATATATAATATTGAAAGTCACCAGTAGCAAATACAAGTAAGCTTAGAATGGGTTGTCGTATACTTGTGATACATTTATATGAATGGACTGCTAAACAATTGAATATTTAGGGAGTAAAATCATTGGACAATCTTGCAGTTTTCTGATGGTGTTTTCTTTGCCACCTTAAACCAGCCAAGGGGTAAAATACTCCCAAAACTATAAAACTAGGTAACAGAGTCTTGTTATCCCACACAAAAAAACAGAGCTTGAAATACATGTATAGTATTGTTTGAAAGAAACATTCTTTGTGGAAAAATACTATACTATTTATGGTTTAAAATTTTAGAATTGGTCAATATAAGTTGAAAGAGAAATAGTTTAGACAAAATGAACATTATTGTGAGAAGTGAGGTTTAACTCTTGATTGCTATTGAATCTTTTTCTAGTATTGGGTTTATTTTGATTCTTTTAGAAAAGTAGTTTAAAATAAGTGAGCATTAAGAAAAAATAGTTACAGATATGGCAAAGGAATCGTGTAATTTAAATTTAACATTTTATACACTTTTTAAAATTGACATTCCATGCCTTACAATAAATGTAGCCAATAAATTTCTATATTAATCAGACCATTAAGAGAATTGGTTGTTTAGTGTTGGAGGTTTTGGAGAAATATACTTTAAGACTGTATTGCACAGTTGATCTATTTTTGAAAAAGTTTGCCTTTACAATACTGGTATACTGTTTAGAAAACTATTGTGCCTCATTTTCCTTTTCCTTTGAATTTCATCTGGTTTTCCCTTTAAGCGTTCATTCAGAAAATAAAGTTTAATTTTACATAATGAGGATATAATTATTTGGTAGCATTTTTTTTGCTAGTTTTACAGCGTCAGCAGTCTGTTTAACTTCATGTATTATATCTGTTTACTGCTATTTGAATATCTGTAAAATACTATTTATATCTAATAATCAAATGTTGATTCTCAAATTTTTGAGTCTTGATGGCAGGTTGTTCCCTGGAGAAGGTGCAAGAAATTAAAAATATGCAGCAGAGCTATAAACACTTCCAACAAGATTATTTTTTCTACTTGTTTTTTGTTCGGTGTCTCTTTCTTTGATGCTACCTAAGTAACTAAATGGAAAGAGTAAGATTAGATTTTTAGGAGGAGATGTAACTTCTTTCTTCTTATCCTTATTCTGGAAATAAGTCCTTTTATTGTTAGTTTGAAAAGTCTATAATACAAAGAAGTTACATGAGATATTATGAATACTTCTAAATCTATATGAACTTTTTAGTAATGTACTTACACATTTCATTTTACTAATGAACCCTCTTTTGTAGGCATATTTAACTGCAATTTCTTATGTCTTTTAAATATATATTTTTTAGCTACATTGGTGAAAAAATTTTAATCACTAATTTTGTGCAGGCAATTAAAATAATTTTATATGTACAGAAAACGAGACTCATTTGACTTGCTGCTTTAAAATTATGTGGGCTTTTGAAAGGAAGTGGTTTATTTGAGTAAAAAAACTAGTTCAGAATGTTCTCAGATAAGTCTTAAGATTCTCTTTGTATATACACCTACACTGGAAAAACTGAAACACTAATTGCTTAATTTAAAAATAATTTGCTACAAACTCAAAACACCTTATCTTCGTAATAGCCAGAACCATATATGAATTGCATGAATGTTAAGTGCAGAGGTTTCTTTTAATCTTAATTATGGTTTTTTGACATACAAATTATAATCAGGTTACATCTGTTTGTATGTATGTATTTTTTTTTTAAATGTATTTTTATTGCTTGCAGGGAGGAAGGGAGAGGAGGAGAGCGATAGAAACATCAATGATGAGAGAGAATCATTGGTTGGCTGCCTCCTGCATGCCCCCCACTGGCGATAAACCCAGAATCTCCTGGTTCATAGGTTGACACTCAGCCACTGAGCCACACTGGCTGGGCTGTACTTTCTTATTTCATTCCAAAGCAGTTATAAATCTTTTAAATATTTTTTTTGAGTGCTTGGTATTTTAGTAAGGGATAGAAAGGAACGAAAAGACAAAATTCAGTTTAGTCAGCATTTATTACATGTTCACTTTTTATCAGAAAATTGTGGTAGCCATTGAGAACATAGATTTAAGTCACAGACTTTTCCCCTAATTCAGCGGTTCTCAACCTGTGGGTTGCGACCCCTTTGGGGCGCGGACGGCCCTTTCACAGGGGTCGCCTAAGACCATCGGAAAAACACATATATTATTACATATTGTTTTTATGATTAATCACTATGCTTTAATTATGTTCAATTTGTAACAATGAAATTGGGGGTCATCACAACATAAGGAGCTGGTATTAAAAGGTCTTGGTATTAGGAAGGTTGAGAACCACTGCCCTAGAGCTTCATAGTGGTCCTTCAGGGGCTAGGCCTGCTTCAAGAGCAGCACCTGATGTAGCCAGGAGTTTTCTCACTGAACATGTTACCTGTTTCTTTTTGTGTAGCTATGTTTATAATATTCTGTGCCGGGTGCTGCTATCTTTCAAGGGAAGTGAATTAATAATGTTGAATGTAAACTATGTGTTAGGCTTTGTATATGTTTTATTTGGTCATTATGAGACTCTAAGGAAGATTGAAGAAATTGAGGCTCATATAAATAACTTGCCTTAATTCCATATGACATGAGGCAAATTGTAACTCAAACTGAGTTCTTCTGCACTCCCATGTCCTTTTCATTATATATTACTTGCAACAGAATTTTATGTTATAATGCTTTGACCTTGTTTGTTTTTTGTTAAGTGTCTTAAACATAAATGCTGGTTTGTAAGGGAAACCAGCTTTATTATTAGTGAGATATTTAAAAGCTACTTTGAAGTATTTTTTCTGCTAGTATTATTTAAGAGACTTTGACATTCTTAGAGAATGGGTATTATTTTCTGAATACTTGCACATTAATAGTCCTAAGAATTGCAGTCCTTTTCTAGGTTATTTACTTTTATTCAGTTTGTAATCTTGATTCCTTACTTAAACAACAA